GGAGCTGGAGCTGGATGAACTCCGGATCATTCGGGAGGCTGAGGGGGTGATAGAGAGGAGTTATAGGAAGGTGGTCACACCCAAGGTACAGGAAAAAGGTAGCTGGGTGACTGTCAGGAAGGGGAAAGGGGATAGGCAGACAGTGCAGGGATCCCCTGTGGCCGTTCCCCTCAATAATAAGTATACTGTTTTGGATACTGTTGGTGGGGGGAACGACCTACCAGGGGAAGGCCATAGCGGACAGGTCTCTGGCACTGAGCCTGACCCTGTGGCACCGAAGGGAAGGGGGGAGAATAGGAGAGCAATTGCAGTGGGGGATTTGATAGTAAGAGGCACAGACAGGCGGTTCTGTGGACGCAAACGAGATGAACGGATGGTATGTTGCCTCCCGGGTGCCAGGGTCTGTGGTGTCTTGGATCGTGTCTTCAAGATCCTTAAGGGGGAGGGTGAGCAACCAGCAGTCATGGTACACATCGGTACCAATGACATAGGTAGAAAAAGGACAGAGAATGTGAAAAACGAGTACAGGGAGTTAGGTTGGAAGCTGAAGTCCAGGACAAACAGGGTAGCTATCTCTGGATTACTACCAGTGCCACGTGATAACAAGGTAAGAAATAGGGAGAGAGTGCAGCTAAACACGTGGCTACAGGGCTGGTGTAGGAGGGAGGGCTTCCATTATGTGGATAATTGGAGCACATTCTGGGGAAGGTGGGACCTGGACAGGAAGGACGGGTTGCACCTGAACCAGAAGGGCACAAATATCCTGGAAGGGAGGTTTGCTCGAGCTTTACGGGATGGTTTAAACTAGATTGGCAGGGGGTGGGGAACCGGATTGATAATTCAGAGGATGAGGTATTCAGCCTTCCAACGGACATAACAGGCAGTGAGGTTGTTCATAAAGAAATGCGGTCGATGGAGCGTAATTGTGGACATAGAGATGGTTTGAGGTGTGTATACTTCAATGCTAGAAGTATCAGAAATAAGGCGGATGAACTTAGAGCATGGGTCGGTACTTGGAACTACGATGTTGTGGCCATTACAGAAACTTGGTAACTCAGGGACAGGAATGGTTGTTGGAAGTTCCGGGATCTGGATGCTTTAAAAGAAATAGGGAGGGTGGAAAAAGAGGCGGGGGAGTGGCATTGCTAGTCAGGGTGAGTATAGCAGCTACTGAAAGGCAGTTCGAGAATGATATGTCTACAGAGTCAGTTTGGGTTGAGGTCAGGAACAAGAAAGGAGCAGTCACTTTGTTGGGGGTTTTTTACAGCCCCCCTAATAGTTGCAGAGAAGTAGAGGAGCGGGTTAAGTCACAGGGTTGTAGCCATGGGCGACTTCAACTTTCCAAATATTGATTGGAAACATTTTAGTTGTAATAGTTTAGATGGAGCGGATTTTGTCCAGTGCGTTCAGGAAGGATTCCTGTCACAGTATGTAGATGGACCAACACGAGGAGAGGCCACTTTGGATTTGGTGCTTGGCAACGAACCGGGCCAAGTGTTAGACCTGTTGGTAGGAGAGCATTTTGACGGTAGCGATCATAACTCTGTTTCTTTCATGATAGTCATGGATAAGGATAGGTACATACAGCAGGGTAAAGTTTACAATTGGGGGAAGGGTGATTACAATTCAGTTAGGCAAGAACTGGGTAACATAAATTGGGAATAGATGCTGTCAGGGAAGAGCACTACAGAAATGTGGAGATTGTTTAAGGAATGCAAATTGCATGTGCTCGATATGTTTGTCCCTAGCAGGCAGAGAAGATGCGGTCGAGTGAGGGAGCCATAGTTCTCGAGAGAGGTCGAAAGACTGGTTAAGAGGAAGAAGGAGGCTTATGTACGGTTTAGGAAAAGAGGAACGGAAAAGGCTCTCGAGGGATACAAGTTAGCCAGGAAGGAGCTGAAGAAAGGGCTTAGGAGAGCTATAAGGGGGCATGAGAAAACCTTGGCGGATAGGATCAAGGAAAATTTCTGAAGATGGGTCTGGGCCTGAAACGTCAGCCTTCCTGCTCCTCTGATGCTGCTTGGCCTGCTGTGTTCATCCAGCTCTACACCTTGTTATCTCAGATTCTCCAGCATCTGCAGTTCCTACTGTCTCTCAAACAGTCTTACATCAGTGGTGGGCAAATTATTGAAAAGGGCTCTGAGAGACAGGATTTAAGATCACTTGGAAATGCACAGTTTGATTTGTGATAGTCAGCATGGATTTAGGAGGGGTAGATCATGCCTCACAAACCTTATTGAATTCTTTGAAGAGGTGACCAAACACGTGGATGAAGGTGGAGCAGTGGATGTGGTATAGATGCATTTAAGTAAGGCGTTTGATAAGGTTCCCCATGGTAGGCTCATGCAGAAGGTAAGGAGACATGGGACAGGGAGAAATGTGGCAGATTGGATTCAGAATTGGCTGACTCTTAGAAGACAAAGGGTGGTAGCGGACGGAAAATATTCAACATGGTGCTCAGTTACGAGTGGTGTACCACAAGGATCTGTTCTGGGTCCTCTTCTATTTGTGATTTTTGTAAATGATTTGGATGAAGGAGTGGAAGGGTGGATTAGCAAGTTCATGGATGATACGAAGGTGGGTCACATTGTGGATAGTGCGGAGGGTTGTTCTATGTTACAAAGGGACATTGATAGAATGCAGAGCTGGGCTGAGAAGTGGCAGATGGAGTTTAACTCTGAAAAGTGTGAGGTGATTCATTTTGGAAGGACAAATGTGAAAGCAGAATACAGGGTTAATGGAAACATTCTTGGCAGTGTGGAGGAGCAGAGGGATCTTGGGGTTCATGTTCACAGTTCCCTGAGAGCTGCCACCCAGGTGGATAGAGTTGTTAAGAAGGCGTATGGTGTGTTAGCTTTCATTAATAGAGGGATTGAGTTCAACAGCCGTGAAGTTATGCTCCAGCTATACAAAAGCCTGGTTCGGCTACATCTGGAGTATTGTGTCCAGTTCTGGTCACCTCATTACAGGAAAGACGTGGAAGCGTTAGAAAAGGTGCAGAGGAGATTTACCAGGATGTTGCCTGGAATGGAGGGAAGGTCTTACGAGGAAGGGTCGAGAGAGCTCGGGCTTTTCTCTTTAGAACAACGAAGGATGAGAGGTGACTTGATAGAGGTGTACAAAATGATCAGAGGTATAGATAGAATAGACAGCCAGAGACTTTTTCCTAGGGTGGAGGTAGCTTTTACAAGGGGGCATAGTTTTAAAGTGAAAGGAGGTAGATATCGGGGAGACATCAGAGGTAGGTTCTTTACTCAGAGAGTGGTCGGGGCGTGGAATGCATTGCTAGAGAGGGTAGTGAAGTCAGCCTCATTAGGGGCATTTAAGCAGCTATTAGATAGGCATTTGGATGATAGTATAAGGTAGGGGTGGAGGTTAGATAGACCTTAGGTTTAGGGTAAAAGTTCGGCACAACATCGTGGGCCGAAGGGCCTGTACTGTGCTGTACTGTTCTATGTTCTATGTTCTAAATTCTATGAGACAGGGCATATCCAGGGATGGTGACGGTGGTGTTTGGGACATTGTCTGTAAGGGATGATTCTGTGAGTATGACTATGTCAGGTTGTTGCTTAATTAGTCTGTGAGATAGCTCTCCCAAGAGATGTTAGTGAGGAGGACTTTGCAGCGTCGACAGGGATGTTTCTGCCATTGTCATTTCCGGTACCTAGGTTGATGCCAGGTGATCCATCTGGTTTCATTTCTTTGAGTCTTTGTAGCGATTGGTACAACTGAGTAGCTTGTTAGGCAACACCCTCTTAGGGCAGCTGAGAGTCAACCACATTGCGTTGGTGTGCTTTCTTCACTGCAGCATTGACGTGTGTAGACCAGGATAGATTGTTGGTGATATTTACTCCGAGAAACTTGAAGCTCTAGACCACATTCACCTCGGCACCATTGATGCAGACAGGGGCATGTTCTCCACTCCCACTTCCGGAAGTCAATGACCAGCCCCTTTATTTTGCTGACATTGAGGGAGAGGTTATTGTCTTTACATCCTGTTACTAAGCTGTCTATCTCTCAAGGGCAACTAGGATGGGCAATGAAAGCTGGCCAGTCAGTGACACCAACATGTCATGAGTGAATAAAAACAAAGTCTTTGAGCTATATATTTAACTATTTAACTTGATTTCCTCTGTACCAGTTTGTCCATGGCTCAGGAAGTAATCCTTAGTTTGGAGGTTCTGCTTCCAAATTTAGATCCCGAGGTCTTTTCGTAGAACCCACTTTCAATTCCAATTCCCCATCGTAGGCATGTTGACACCAACATAGATAACAACAATTGGATCCCTTCCGTCCCACAGCAATCTCTTCTCTGGTCCTAGGGAAATTTTTCATTTTATTGTATCCTATCACTATTGTGTTCCTGTTTCCCACCCCGCTTGAATAGCTCTCTGTACCATAGTGCTGTGCCCTGTTTGCTCATTCTTCCATTTTGGCCTAGTTGATTCACATAAAGTCATCGGCAGGGACTGTTATCCATGTGAGAAGTATTATGAATAAATAAGACCATAAGACATAGGAGCAGAATTAGGCCTTTCGGCCCATTGACTCTGCTCCACCAATCGATCATGGCTTCTCAACTAATTCTCCTGCACTAATCAAGAACTTATCTATCTCTGTCTTAAAGACGCTCAATGACTTGGCCTTCATAGCCCTCTGCAATGAGTTCCACAGATTCACCACCCTCTGGCTGAAGAAATTCCTCCTCATCTCCGTTCTAAAGGGTCATGCCTTCACTCTGAAGCTTTGCCCTTGGGTCCTATTCTCTCCTACGAATGGAAACATTTTCTCCACGTCCACTCCACCCAGGCCTCTCAGTATTCTGTAAGTTTCACTCAGATTCCCCCTCATCTTTCTAGACTCCGTCAGTACAGATGGAATTAGTTGGAATATTGTAATTTACATCAAGCAACAACTAACTGAACAAATAACTGCATTATAAAATTATTTACATCATTTATAATGAAGTGAAATAGCTTTTCAACATATCGTGCAAAGTATTTCTGATTGGTTCTGTAATCTTTACTGTGGATTATTCCTGCATTTGGAAATTACAGTCATACAGAATGAATCTTATTTTGGGCATTGAATTGCATCTCAAAGATTTGATCACAATGGGCGCAGAGAGCAATTTTTCATGATTTATAAGATGCAACAGTTGGCGGGTAGGTCTCTGAATCTGTGGAGAGATAAAAATGTTTCAATCAATGGTCATTTGTTTTGTCAGTAAAAAGCTATCACCAAATTTACTTCCCATTTCCTTTTCACTTTCTTCATGCTGTCTTGCGATTGTGAAGATAACCTACAGTTAACAAAGTGGAATAATCTGGAAAAGAGTAAATGTGACATCTGTGTTAAAGAAAGGAGGGACACAAAAGCAGTAGAATACAGTCCATAGAACATTACAGCGCAGTACAGGCCCTTCGGCCCTCGATGTTGC